GATTTTAGAGAAGGTTCCATGTGGTGCTGAGAAGAAGGTATATTCTTTTGTGGTTGGATGGAATGTTCTATAGATGTCTGTTAAGCCCAGTTGGGTCATAACTTCTGTTAGTTCCTTTGTTTTTTTGTTAATTTTCTGTCTGGTGGTCCTGTCTAGTGGTGAGAGTGGTGTGCTGAAGTCTCCCACTATAAGTGTGTGGGGTTTAATGTGTGATTTGAGCTTTAGTAATGTTTCTTTCATAAATGTGGATGACTTTGTATTTGGGGCATAAATATTTAGAATTGAGATTTCATCTTGATGGACTTTTCCTGTACTGAATATGAAATGACCTTTTTTCATCTCTTTTGATTGATTTTACTTTTAAAGTCTAACTTGTTAGACATTGGATTGCTACACCAGCTTGTTTCTTGAGTCCATTTGATTGGAAAATCTTTTCCCAACCCTTACATCTGAGATAAGGTCTGTCAATAAAGGTGAGGTGTGTTTCTTGTATGCAGCAGAAGGATGGATTCTATCTTCGTATCCATTCTGTTAGCATGCGTCTTTTATAGGTGAGTTAAAACCATTAATATTGAGGGTATTAATCACCATTATTGTTGATTCTTGTTTGTTTTAGATTTGTTTTTGGTGGTGGTATTGTGTATGAAGTTTTCCCTTTTTCCTGACTTTTAGTAAAGTGGGATTATCTATTGCCTATGTTTTTGTGAGTGTAGTTAATCTCCTTGAGTTGGAGTTTTCCTTCCAGTACTTTCTGTAGGGCTGGATTTGTCGATATTTATCATGTAAATCTCGTTTTGTCATGAAATATCTTGTTTTCTCCGTCTATAATGATTGAAAGCTTTGCTGGGTATAGTAGTCTGGGTTGGCATTCATGGTCCCTTAGCATTTGTAATGCATCTATCCAGGACCTTCTGGCTTTCAGAGTTTCCTTTGAGAAGTCAGGTGTGATTCTGATAGGTCTGCCTTTATATGTTACTTGGCCCGTTTCCTTTGCAGCTCTTAATATTTTTTCTTTATTCTGTAATTTTGTTGTTTTATTATGTGGCAAGGGGATTTTGTGGCCCACTCTATTTGGTGTTCTGTAAGCTTCTTGTACTTTCATAGGCATGTCTTTCTTTAGTTTGGAAAGTTTTCTTCTATGATTTTGTCAAATATGTTTTCTGTACCCTTGAGCTGTATTTCTTTGCCTTCTTCTGTACCTATTATTTTTAGGTTTGGTCTTTTCACGGTGTCCCATATTTCCTATATATTTTGTGTTAGGGATTTGTTGGGCTTAAGGTTTTCTTTGGTCGATGACTCTATTTCCTCCATGGAGTCTTCAACACCTGAGGTTCTCTCTTGTATTCTATTGGTGATACTTACATCTGTAGTTCCTGATCATTTAACCAACTTTTCTATTTCCAGCATTCCCTCATTCTATGTTTTCTTTATTGTTTCTATTTCAGCTTTCAACCTTTGTACTTTTTGAATTGTTTCCTTCACTTTGTTTTTTTTTTGTTGTGTTTCCTCACTTTCTTTAAGAGATTTGCTTATTTCTTTAAGAGATTTGCTTATTTCATGGTTAGTCTTTTCTTCCACTTCCTGCATTTTTTGTTTGCTTTTTCCCCCTCCATTTAATAGAATTTCTCATTTCCTCTTTGAGAGTATCATCTTCATAAAGTTGTTTTTAAGGTCCCTCTCTTCTGCTTTCACATGCTAGGATTAAAGGGGTGGGCCACCACTGCCCAGAAAATTTCTTTTTTCCTCTTAGTTCAAGTTGCTGTATGATTTCCATTTTATTTCATTTAAATGGAATAAAATAGATCTAGTTACTGTTACGTTAATTACATGTTTCATTTTGATATTTTTATACATGTACGATCATATTCACCAGATCATCTTCTCTTGTCCCTCTTCTACTTTGATGTATTCTTTGTGTGTGTGTGTGTGTGTGTGTGTGTGTGATCCAATGAGTTTCACTAGGGATCTTGGTAGGACAGTTAAAAGAGTTTGTTCACAGAAGCTTTTACCCTTGCCAGTGACTGGACTACTGAAGAATAAATAAACCTCTTTCTCCCTAGCAATCATCAACTGTCTATACATCCCTAGGAAGGGTTGGGAAAGCATGAGCCCCTTTCTCTTCTATGATAGGGGTTGGTCCAGTTTTGTGCAGATCTTGTTCAGGTAATAGTAGCCGCTGGTAGTTTAAGAGTGCCATTTCAAGCAAGGAAGTCAGCATTCTTTACCACATCCCATGAACCCCTCTCCAAGGTCTTTGTAAGGGCACAGACTAAAATACACGGGACTAGGTTAAATATAGGTTAAATTTATTCAGAGAGAAGTCACTTACATAAGAAATGGATGACCCACAAGTTCTAGCCCTGAGGATCCACACTCAGCTGCTCTCCATGACCAAACCAGAACCACGAGAGAGCGAGCCTGTCTGGGACCCCAGACCAAATCCCACACCTCATGTACGCACCTGTGATGATGCCCACACCTCATGTACATGACCACACCCGTCTGGCGAGGCTGGTTAGATCTCTCCCTACAGGTCTTGCATTTCTGTGTTGTGGTTTGAATGTCTCTTCTGACTTGATTTCAGAATCTTTTCCTTGACCGGGCTACTGACGAAAGTTTCAATCCTCAGTACCACTCAGCGAGGAGAATTCAGACTGTTGTAACAGCAATACAGTAAACCCATTAAAGCTATACAAATGTGCGTGGCATCAATTGCAGCCTGGAGATCCACCATCATTGACCATAGATTAAAAATGGAAAAAGCTACTGAGGAATGTGCTAGTAGCTGAAAGTAAATATTTAGGGCAGGCATAGAAACTGTAAATGGATGAGATACAGGAAGTAGTCAGAGAGAGTGAAGAAACAGAGGAGAAATAAGTTATGTGGAAGAAAAAAAAGCAAGGGTTACAGATATCTATCTATCTATATATATATATATATATATATATATATATAGAGAGAGAGAGAGAGAGAGAGAGGGAAGAGAAACAAGGAAGAGGCTTGAAAAAAAAAGAAATGCAAAAAGAAAATAACAACAAAACCCAATAACGAAAAACTTCAAAAACAACAGCAAACAAATGTAAGAATGGGCATTAAAATGATAAAATAAGAGTATTTAAAAACAGTAAGTTAAAGTGAAAATATTAAATGTAGGAAATATTAGGTGTGGGAAAAATCAGAAACAAAGATTAAAAGCCGGCAACCCGCCAACCAACCAAGCGAAAAACAAGTGCAAATACGCAAAAAGGCACCAGTGAAAAGGCTAAAACAACAGCAGAAACAATCCCAATAAGGGAAAAGGTTTTGTAGGCAAATTTAATTACATTACTAAGGGGAATAACAACCAGAAACACAAAAATTTAAATAACACAATAAAGTACCAAAAGTGATGAAAGTATAGTAAATAGGAAAAAAAATTCAAGAGAGAGAATGGGCAGAGGAAAGAGAGAGGGGAAAAAGAGTGGAGAGGGAGGGAGGAAGGGAGAGAGGGAGAGAGAGAGGGAAAGAGAGAGAGAGAGAGACAGACAGACAGAGACAGACAGACAGAGACAGAGAGAGTATAGGACAAACGTGACACTTGAATTTGTGGGCTTTCCCTTTCCTGTGGTGATGCTGTTGCGATTAGTAGTGGGCAAGCGTCTTATACCCGTCAGAGCTGTCTAACACTCCTAACACTCCTTTGCTTACAGGTGCCTCTGCTGCTTATACTTATTTGCATCCCGTGGGCTGGGATGCTCTGTGGCCCCTCCCCTGCCCTTGGGAGAGACTTCCTGGATTATGTTCTCTAGGGTGGCTTAGGCTTACACTAGGGTGTGTCCGATGTGCCTAGCGAGTGTGGGAAGCAACCGCAGTACCGAGGTTGATACAGGTTAAGGATCCGCGTCCACATGTTCAAGAAATCCTGAATCGCCCCCCCTGGAAGGATGCAGCTGTGGGTATCATACGTACCCCTGGAACTTCAGTCCTGCAGCCGAAGAGAACAAACAGTTTTTGGCTCCAGAGTTTGATATACCGCGCCCTGATATACACCCCCCCCCCCAGACCTCAGCCTGAGTGCTATCAAACTCCAGGGTCAGTCTCAGCTAGTAAAATCTGCTCTTGTTAACCCAGGCTGGGGCTATACCTCCCCATGTATTTCCTAACCACTGCTGGGCCTCCTGCTATGTATTCTTGCCTGTATCAGCTACCCTGTCCTATGCAACAACTGACACTCAGGAGCTGTGACAGGCCAAGTCGAGGCTCCCCAATCTTATTCTCCCAGGGTTGTTCCATTTGAGCAACAGGGACCCTCTGGACGGCGGCACCCTCAGGCGCTGGTCTCTGAGCCACCTGGTGTGGCAAATGGGCTTTTTTCCTCCGCCGTTAACCAGTCTGCTGGAGGAATGAAGGGACAGCCTGGTCCTAAGGGGAGGGGCTGCATGGCTCTCGGTTTCCCCTTGGAAGTAGTTTCCTCCCTCCATGGTGGAAGCTGGGTTTGCCTTACTGTGTTTTTTTTCCCTCCCATGTGTGGCTCATCTCTTTTCTTTGCACATTTCATGTATTCTTTCATTTCCTCTCTGGGTTTCGAAGGCCTTCTTTCTTTTTGTTTTTGGTCCGGAGCCCAACCCCTTCCTCCACTCCCCCAGCCTTATTCTGGCTTTCGATAGTTTACAGTCCACCATGCCAGCTTACAAGCAGCAGCGTCCAGAGTGCCATCTTACCAGAAAACTCTTAGTGAGGTCTTTGTAACCTGCCGTGCATTTACGTTTGGAGCACGTTTCCATGCGGCCAAGCCGCGCTTCAGGATTGATTGCATGTGTGGCTATTGGTTGTCGTGGTAGATTAAAAAATGGAGGTGCCCAGAGGAAGCAGTACAATTTCACGAATTAGATAAGAATTTGAAATGATTTTCTTTATGAAATACCTTCTAGGCAACTGAACTTTTATAAATTGTTTCCCTACCTTGTTTTTTTTTCTCCTCCTCCTCCTCCTCCTCTTCCTCCTCCCATGTTGCTTTCCAGCTGATGTACTATATGAAGGGAATTAAATTTAAAACACATGATGGAAAGTGGCTAGTTCTGGATGACAATGGAGATGTACTACACGGACACTATGATATCCTGAACTGGCAATTAGACAACAATGGAGACGTTTCCTTTGCGACAGTTGGGAAATTCAACTTCAGAGATGCTATGTTTGAGCTTGTTATTCCAAGGAATTCTACAATATTTTGGAACACTGAGACATCAAAGGTTAGTAGAACTGATACGGTATTTCACTTGACTCTATGTTACTTTCAAGGATACCAATGAAGTGTAAAATACTCTAGTTGCAAATCAGTTTTCCTCGAATACAACACATTTAAAAACACATGAAAATTCGTATTTTTTTAAAGCTTTGGAACATTTTCGTAGATTTTGGTATTAAGTGTTCGTTTTTTCAGTACATTATCTTTTCAAGCACTCTGACCATGGTTATTTTGACCACTTTTGTGTTTTATACAGTCGTGAGGGATGTGCACACATGCATGTGATACACATGTGTGTCTGTTATTGTATGTGTACAAGCGTGTGGGGAACAGAGGCCAATGTTGGGGGTCTTCCTCATTCACTTTTCATGTTAAGTTTTTTTGTGTGTGTTTTGAGACAGGATCTCTCACTGAACTTGGGGCTCACCTACCTAACTAGGCTGGCTGGCCTGGTGAGCACTAGTGATTTGCCTGGCTCTCTCATCAGTTCCGGGGTTACAATGCACTCTACTATGCCATCTTTTATTTCTGCGTTTGGGGTCTGAACTCAGGCCCTCGTGTTCAACGAGCGTGTCACCAAAGCCAATGGCCCTAAGCCTCCTCTGTGTTTGCTTTCACCCAATCCACCCTCTCAGGGTCTCTCCCCTGTCTCATTTCTGTCCTGTGCTCTTCTGCCTTTGCTCAGTAGATCTTACTAAATTTCCATCGAAAGGCATTCTTTACCTCTTTGCCACTCCTGTCTTAAACCCAGAAATGTCTTTTTTTGTTGTTTCCTTTTCAAGTAAAGTCAACCCTTTTTATTTCTTTGGGTTTCTGCATCTACTGGAGGAAAAAAAAGGTACATTTCTGTTTTAAAGTTGAATCTATTTTTTTTAAAGGACTCATAAACACCCAAAAGCTCCGCATGTTTATGGGCTGCTCCGCAACGTTTCCATGCACAGTACATGATGTTTAGGTTAGACGTCTCTGTCTTCTCCAATGTTTGCCGTTCCCTTATGACGACAGTGCTTAAAGCCCTCGCTTTTAGAAACATACAGCACAGCTAGAGTCACCGATTGCGCGCCGGAGCTTCTTGCTTTTATCTAATTGGGACTCTGTCCAGCCCCTCTCGATCCCGCCCTTTCCCAGTTTAGGCTTTCCAGCCGCTGATAATCACGATCTTGACCTCTAGCGAGATCAACATTTTAGATTCTATACATGCATGAGGATCAGAGAGTACTTACTGATAGGTTCTGAATCCCGGGATTATTGGAAGTCCACCAATACTGCAGGTGCAGTAAGTCAATCAAACCGAATTATTAAACTCAGGTTTAATGAACAGGGCAATGCAACTCCCGGGTGACTCTAAGGAGGGCAGAAGAGGAATCACGTGGCAAATACGGCTACCAGGTCTTAAGGAGCCTATAGTCGTGGTGGTCTTGAGCAGCCTCCAGGGAAGGAGCTGATGCTTGGAGGGCTTTCTGAGGGGAGGAGTTGCTGCGTGGTGGGTTTTTGAGGGGGTGGGGTTTGGAATGGGAGGAGTGAGACGCACTTCTCCAGAAGTTCTCCCCTATTTCCTTACTACCGCTATTCCCTTCCAACTTTATGCACCATTTTTTTATATAAGTCCACCAAGTTCACTTAGTGATGACTACCCGTGTATGAATTAAGAGCCTTCTACTAGATCACGGCAGCCTCTCAGGGGCAGCATCCCCGAAGAAAACTGGCTCTCTTTTCCCCAGAAGCCATCAGTTAACCTATAGCTTCTCAGCTATGGGTGGGACTTCATGAGCCCCTCCCAATTCGTGTTGGGATTTTAGCTGGCTTGGTCTTGCGCGAGTCTTTGGCTGGCGTGGCCATCTACTGCCTCTAGCTCTTACGGTAAGGGGGAAGGGTGTGATAGAGATGTCCTATTTAGGACTGAGCACTCCATAGTCTCTTATTCTCTGGACCTTGATCGATTCTTCATCTCCGATATGCTCCATCGACTGCAAAAAGAAGCCCTCTAATCAGGGCTGAGTAAAACAGCAACAATTGAGTCTACAAGATTCAGGGGGATCATTTAATACTATGTTTATTTAGCAGAATAAATAGTAAAAAGTTCTCTCCCAGGTCCAGTCACTGGTTCTAGGCCCAGTTAACCATGACAGGCATGAGTTTTTTGTCTTATGGAGTTTTAGGTGGTTGCTTGCTCCCATAGCATTCACGCTACCTTTCCAGTTGTGACATATCCCTTAATTTTGACATCTGCAATTCAAGATTGTAACATGATTTCTTTCCCGCCAGCTGCCTGGGTCTCGCCGCTGTCTCTGCCCCCAAATAACACAAGAGACACTATATTAATTATGAAGCTGTTGGCCGTTTGCTACAGTTTCTTAATTGCTGGCTCTGACTTAATTACTAACCCATAATTACTAATATATATTTTTATAAGGACTTATCTTACCGAGAATGCCAGACTTGCACCCTCTCCACCTGGGATCACATGGTGACTCCCTACCCTTGACTACATTTCCCAGAATCCTCCTTGACTCCTAGTCCCACCTATCTTGCTTCCCTATTGGCCAACAGTGCTTTATTTATCGACCAGTAGGACAACATATACACAGAAGGACTTCCCCCATCACAAGATAATTTTGCACATCTCTGAGGAATTTTTTTTGGGTGGAGAATATTTAATTGTATTTTAAGTACTGTATAATGGTAGTATTCTTCTCTGTATTGGTGAGGGTGGTGTGTTTATTTTGTGAATAGAATTTTAATCTGGAATGTTTTTCATTTTTTTGTTTTCTTTTAATAGGACACTTTTAGAGAAGCACAATTCTATTTTTGGTCACTTTTATGGGTGAAGATAGAGGGTTTTGGGTCACTTCCAATGTCTCTATTTCAGGGCACTCTCTTTAAGTATACTTTAGTTGATGAAAAGACTTTTATTTTGCAGGGGGGGAGGGGATCGAGGCAGGGTTTCTCTGTGGCTTTGGAGGCTGTCCTGGAACTCGCTCTGTAGACCAGATTGGCCTTGAACTCAAATAGATCCACCTGCCTCTGCCTTCCTAGTGCTGGGATTAAAGGAGTGTGCCACCACCACCCGGTTGAAAGGACTTTTTAAATGAAAGGAAACCCTTCCGTTTTTATTGACTTTGTAGCCCGTCCAGTTTCTGTTGGATTTTTAGTTCACCTTGTTTCTATTTTTTTAATTAACATTAATTTTTTCCTTCTTTTTTGTTTTTGTTTTTTTTCCTTCTTGATGTACTTTCTAGTCCCTTTTCTGTACTTCCAGATGCTGTCATACTGAGTCGTGCCCTGCAAGCCAACACATTGCTTTTTCCTAGGAATAGCTTGCCGGGCTATCTGGAAACCGTAGGTTCTCTGCTCCCTTTCATCATCTGTATAGCTCGTTTTAGAATCAAGTTATTTTCTGCACATCCAGGCTTGAAGACAGAATGTCAGAGGTGTCTCTCTAGGAATCTGGCAATGATTATTTCTCTGCTTAGAGGTACTTAGAAGTTTCTGACATCCTCAGGCTCTTTGTGATGTAGTCATGGCTATGTAGGAGTTTCTCAGATCATGTGGTTTTGCAGAGGATGTGTGGGAAAGCCTGAGAACAATTGTTATCAGCGCCTGGTGGCCACTACGGGCCTCTCTCCCAACAATAGTTCTTCAAGGCTTCCTTCTGGTTTATTCCTAGCGACAATGACAGGGGATTTGGAGGTTCGTAAGTTCAGACATGAATCTCTGCTTACAAGGCTGTTTTATATATGGATGCATATACCTGTTAAAGAGTCTTAAGTATCCATTTAAAAAAAAACAAACAAACCCTACATTGAGATGTTAAATGAGAAAGAGTTGGGTTTAAAACTTTCAAAATTCTTTATAAAATTGTCCCAAGAAATAACAGATTGTGATTCTTTGTATTTATTTTTGTGTAAATTGCTTACGAAAGGCAGGCTATTTTCACTGCTATTATTATTGTTATTGCTATTATTATTTATCACCATATTATTATTATTTTGATGGGGATTGCACTGAATTTGTAGATTGCTTTTGGCAAGATTGCCATTTTTACTATGTTGATCCCACCAATCCGAGAGCATGGGAAATCTTTCCATTTTCTGGTATCTTCTTTAATTTCTTTCTTTAAAGACTCTAAGTTCTTGCTATACAGGTCTTTCACCTGTTTGGTTAGAGTTACCCCAAGATATTTTATGTTGTTTGTGGCTATTGTAAAGGGTGGCATTTCTCTGATTTCTTCTCAATCCTTTTATCGTCTGTATATAGTAGGGCTACTGATTTTTTTGAGTTAGTTTTGTATCCTGCAACTTTGTTGAAGGTATTTATCAGCTGAAAGAGTTCCCTGGTAGAGATTTTAGGATCACTTATGTAAACTATCATATCATCTGCAAATAGTGAAAGTTTGACTTCTTACTTTCCAATTTGTATCCCCTTGATCTCCTTTTGTTGTCTTATTGCTCTAGGTAGAACTTCAAGTACAATATTGAAGAGATATGGAAAGAGTGGACACCCTTGTCTTGTTCCTGAATTTAGAGGAATCGTCTTGATTCTCTCGATTTAGTTTGGGGTTGGCTGATGGTTTGCTGTATATTGCTTTTATTATGTTCAGGTATGTTCCTGTTATCCCTGATCTCTCCAGGACCTTTGTCATGAAGGTGTTAGATTTTGTCGTAGACTTTTTCAGCATCCAGTGAGATGATCATGCGGTTTTTCTTTTGAAGTTTGTTTATATGGTTGCATTGATAGATTTTCTTATGTTGAACCACCTCTGCATCCCTGTGATGAAGCCTACATGACTATGGAGGATGATTTTTCTGATATGTTCTTGGATTCCATTTTGCCAACATTTTATTGAGTATTTTTGTGTCAATGTTCATGTGTGACATTGGTCTGCAGTTTTCTTTCTTAGTCTTATCTTTGTGTGGCTAGGTTACCGAGGTAATTGTAGTCTCATAAAAAGAGTTTGGCAGTGATCCTTCTACTTCTATTTCATGGAACAGTTTGAGGAGTACTGGTATTAGCTCTTCTTTGAATTTCTGGTAGAATTCTGCACTGAAACCATCTGGCCTTGGCCTTTTTTTGGTTGGGAGAGTTTTGATGACTGTTTCTATTTCATTAGGGGTTTTAGGTCTATTTAAATTGTTTACCTATTCTTGATTTAATTTTGGTAAGTGATATCTATCCATTTCCTTTAAATTTTTGAATTTTGTGGATGACAGGTTTTCAAAGTATGACCTGATGATTCTCTGGATTTTCTCAGTGTCTGTTGTTATATCCCCCTTTTCATTTCTTATTTTGTTAGTTTGAATGCTCTCTCTCTTACTCTCTGCCTTTTGGTTAGTTTGGATAAAGGTTTGTATATCTTGTTGATTTTCTCAAAGAACCAGCTAGCTCTTAGTTTCCTTGATTCTTTGTATTGTTTTCTTTATTTTGACTTTATTGATTTCAACTCTTAATTTGATTATTTCCTGGCATCTACTCCACCTGGGTGATTTTGCTTCTTTTTGTTATAGAGCTTTCGATTGTGCTGTTAATTCTCTAGTGTGACTATTCTCCAGTTTCTTCATGTGGGCACCTAGTGCTATGAACTTTCCTCTTAGCACTGCTTTCAAAGTGTCCCACAAGTTTGGTTATGTTGTGTCTTCGTTCTCATTGATTTTAGGAAGTCTTTAATTTCTTCTTTTTATTTCTTCCTCCACCCAGGAATGGTGTAATTATGTATTGTTCAATTTCCATGACTTGGTAGGGTTTCTACAGTTTGTGCTGTTGTTGAGTTCTACCTTTAAAACATGGTGGTCTGATACAATACAGGGGGTTATTCTAATTTTTTTTTTTTGGTTTTACGAGACAGGGTTTCTCTGTATTGTTTTGGAGGCTGTTGGTCCAGCCCGGCCTCGAACTCACAGGGATCCACCTGCCTCTGCCTCCCAAGTTCTAATTTTTTTTAATCTGTTGAGATTTGATATGATGCCAAGAATGTGGTCGATTTTAGAAAAGGTTCTTTTGTGTTTGGATGGAATGTTCTATAAATGTCTGTTAAACCCAATTGGGTCATAACTTCTGTTAGTTTCCTGTCTGGTGGTCCTGTCTAGTGGTGAGAGTGGGGTGTTGAAGTCTCCTACTATAACTGTGTGAGATCTTATGTGTGATTTGTGTTTTAGTAGTGTTTCTTTTATGAACCTGGGCGCCTTTGTATTTGGGGCATAGATGTTCAGAATTGAGACTTTATCCTGATGGATTTTTCCTGTGATGAATTTGAAATGATCTTCTTCATCTCTTTTGATTGATTTTAGTTTGAAGTCTAATGTGTTAGATATTATGATTGCTACACCAGCTTGTTTCTTGGGTCTATTTGATTGGAAAATCTTTTCCCAACCCTTGACTCTGAGGTAATGCCTGTCTTTGAAGGTGAGGTGTATTTCTTGTATGCAGCAGAAGGATGGATTCTGTCTTCATATCTATTTTGTTAGCCTGTGTCTTTTTATAGGTGAGTTAAGACCATTGATATTGAGGGATATTAATGACCGTTGATTGCTGATTCTTGCTTGTTTTGGATTTGTTTTTGGTGGTGGTATTGTGTGTGAGTTTTCCCCCCTATTTCTGGCTTTTGGTGAAGTAAGATTATCTATTGCCTATATTTTTCTGAGTGTAGTTGACTTCCTTGGGTTGGAGTTTTCCCTCCAGAACCTTCTGTAGGGCTGAATTTGTAGATATGTATTGTGTAAATCTGGGTTTGCCATGGAATATCTTGTGTTCTCCATCTATAGTGATTGAGAGTTTTGCTGGGTATAGTAGTCTGGGCTGGCATCCATGATCTATTAGTGTTTGTAGAATATCTATCCAGGACCTTCTGGCTTTCAGGGTTTCCATGGAGAAGTTGGGTATAGTTCTGATAGGTCTGCCTTTATATGTTACGTGGCCTTTTTCCTTCGCTGCTCTTAACAGCCTTTCTTTACTCTATATGCTTGGTGTTTTGACTATTTATGTGGCGAGAGGATTTTTTTTCTGATCCAGTCTGATGTTCGATAAACTTCTTGCACTTTCAGAGGCATGTCCTTCTTCAGGTTGGGAAGTTTTCTTCCATGATTTTGTTGAATATGTTTTCTGCACCTTTGAGGTGCATTTCTTTACCTTCTTCTATACCTAATAATCTTAGGTGTGGTCTTTTCACGGTGTCCCATATTTCCTGGATATTTTGTGATAAGGATTTGTTGGGTTTAAGATATTCTTTGGTTGATGAATCTATTTCCTCTAGTTTATCTTGAGTGTCTGATATTCTCTCTTCCATCTCTTGTATTTTGTTGGTTATGCTTGTATCTGTGGTTCCTGATCGTTTACCCAGCTTTTCTATTTCCAGCACTCCCTCAGTTTGTGTTTTCTTTTTTGTCTCTATTTCAATTTTCTGGTCTTGAACCATTTGCATTGTTTCCTCCATCAGTTTGATTGTTTTTTTTCTTGGCTTTCTTTAATAGATTTGTTGATTTCTTGTATTGTTTGGTTTGATTTTTCTTCCATTTCCTTAAGGGATTTTCTCATATCTTCTTTGAAGGCCTCTATCAATTTCATGAAGTTTTTAAAAACATCATTCTCTTCTGTTTCATCTGAGTTGGGATGTTCATGTCTTGGTGTTGTAGATTCCTTAGACTCTGGTGGTGTCATGTAAGACTTTCTGTTGTCATATGTGTTCCTAAACTATCATCTTCCCATCTCTTCTTCCAGGGGTATAAGTGGGGTCTCTTCCACTTCTGGTAGGTATGAGTTCAAGAGTCTATCCTCTTCTCTCTCCCAGAAGCACTAGCTTTACACTGGCTGGCTCACTCTACTGGGGGGTGGAGGGGAAAGGCAGGAATGGTGACTGATTCTGGATGCTTTCGGCTGCCTCCAGGTCCCTCTGCAGGATTTGGTGGCCAGTAGGATCTGGTGGCCTCTGCAGGACAGGGGACTCAAAGAGGGAGATGTTGGCTGGAGGAGGCCCTGGCACTCACCACTCTACTGGAGGGAGGAGGGGGAAGGCCAGGAGTCATTTTTTTGGCTATGTTCTTTAAACAGAATAATAGTCATAGATTTTCCCCTAGGCCCATGACCTATCTAGTCTCAGGCTCTTGGCTACTTCAGTAGTATTAGGTATGAGTTCTGTGTCATGGTGTGGGCCTTAAGTCCAATCAAAAAGTGGTTGGCTATTTTCATGACATTTGTGTCCCTATTGCATTAGTATAATTTGCAGGGAGTTTGATGCTATAGATCATAGGGTTTGTACCTAGGTGCTAATGATGATTCCTTCTCATCACTAGCAGCATGCAGAATATATTCTAGGACCACAGATGCTAGTAAATAGGGGTGAAGCTTCTAGTTGGGCACCAGGTTGACTTTTCTGGTTTTGACAAAAGGGCCTGACCATTAGATTGTGAAGGGAAACTAATGGCCTTGGCAGTAGCCTGTGGTATTTGAGAGTCCATGAGATCACTCAGGCCAACAGGGATATATGCCCAAGAGGAGCCCATCAGGTTTTAAGAGCCAGAGGTGGTAGATGACCCCCAGGAGTGACTCTTCCAGCCACAACATGCCTGACGTGTATGTAAACTCACAGAGGCTGAGGCACCACTCATAGGAACTGTTTAAGTCCAATGATATCCCAGAACTGAGAGAGGAAGTGGGTATCATGTCCATCCCTTACCAAAATGTTATTTTCAATTGAAACATTCTGGCAAAAGGAAAATCAATTTTCTCCAGAGGATTGTCACTGAAGTAAATGACCAATACAAGATGAACTCCATGGTGCACACGTGTGTGTGTGTGTGTGTGTGTGTGTGTGTGTATGAGAGAGAGTGTGAGAGAGTGTGTGTGTGTGTGTGACAGAGAGAAAGAGAAAGAGAGAGAGAGAGTTGGATGAGGGGTTTCTAAATTTTGTTTTGGAATTTGTTCTGTCTTACTGATTTTTGTTGGTTTTGATTTTCATTTTTTGCTTTCTTACAAAAACATGAGGTTAGGTTGGTAGGGAGGGGGATAGATCTGGGAAGAGTTGAGAAGGGGGTAAAACACCACCGAAATACACTGTATGAAAAAGTTAAGTAAAAAGAAACACCCTCACACCCCCAGATTAAAATACAAATTTATCTGCAAATATCATTATTATTCTGTATTTCCAAGTGTAAAATTCTTGTCTGAGAAAGGGACAAGTACAAAACTTTCTAACGCAACTTAGCAAGAAAAAAATTCCTAGATTATCCCTTTTCTGCAATTTCTTTATACCTTTCCAATTTCCTCCCTTGAACTTTTACTTTTTTTTTGTTTTCCTACCACTTAGGAAATATGTTTACTTTTAATATTATGTTGAAATGAGTTTGCTGAGAGGAAACGTGTTTCATGTTTTCAGGATGATTATTGAAGTTTTAAGTTCTCCTAAAACGGAAACAGACTTAGCCAATCGTCCTGACTGTGATGCCAGCTCGGTCTTGGTCACCAAGATCTCAAAGAACCGTCATTAGAGTTAGTGTGGCATTTCCAGAGTCAGTCACAGGATGGTTCTTCAGCAGAAGTTGTTTCTAGGCTCCCCGTATTGTCATGTTAGTCTTCCATCTCCGCTCACCATCCTGGGTTCATCTCCTTGATAAACAGGACCCACAGCTCCCGGGAAACACAGTTGGGAACTTTCTCAGTTACGCCAGTGGAAAAGTTTCAAGGCTTTGTTCCACCCACTGTCTTTGTCTTTGCTAGCTTCCCTACTCAGTCTGCACAGATGTGTGTCGTCCAGGGACCCGGAAGGGGATTCGCCAGGGGCAACCCATATGCTGCTTCGATTGCATCCCGTGCGCTGATGGGTACGTGTCAGAGAAACCAGGTAGGTGCTGTCACTTTCTCATCAGTCCTACAGTGACTAGATTAAACATTTCCAGACAAAAGAGGTCCTTAGAAGTGCTTCTTACAAAAGACGGAGGCAGTGTACGGCAAAAATGACTAACGTCTATCAAATCATTGAACATTCTGTGCAGGGTGGATAGAGGATAAAATTGTCTTTCACTTCTGAAACCCCTGTAGCTGGGAAAGACAGACAATCATGAAGTCCATAAGAAACATCAAACAAAATATATAAGGTGTGAAATATGAGTAAATTCATAAAACTCTTAATAGTCTGAAATAGTCTCAAGACTAACCGCAGTTGGAGAAGAGTCACCCGCTTGTCTTTAGGTTCTAAGCAGGGAGAGCACGCGTGGACTGAGCAGCTGCTGCTACATGGACGCCTGCAACAGCTCGCTCAATCGCTGCTCTCTGGGGCTGACTTAGTTCGGTTTTCTGAAGTGTGATGCAGCAGGCTTATTTATGTTTCTACTTTGCGTTGTTGTTGCTGTTCTTGAAGGAACAAAAATGGCTTGTCACATGTCCCTTAAGAGTAACCGTGTAAAAAGATAAAATGATCTGCAAAGAAAATAAGCACCATGTAATGTGCACAGCTCCCTGGCTACAGGTCCCCAGTCTCCACCCAGAATTCCATCCAGAGATGCCCAGACCAGGAGCCAGAGTGACTGAAAGGAAACCCCAGTCTTTACCTGGGTCTTTACATTAATGTTGAGTAGACCCATTCCATCCTTGGCCACAACTCCACCTCAAGTAGCTTTTTCTTGTTCACCAGTTCTCCCTCTTAGAGCCTCCATCAATCCAGTCTCAGTTTTCTTATCCTCAGGGACCAGAGTTGGTGGTTTTGTTTTGCATCCTACCCTCATCCTCACCACTCATTCAAAGGAGCACCTGGAGTTGGGGACATTTGAGTGGTACATACATGATTCTCCTCCACAAAGGGATACTGAATGAGAGACTGAAAACACGAGGGGTTCAACCAGCTGTGTCCAGTCCTTTTGACTGCCTCACCTCAGTAGCTGTGACTTCCTCGCTGATGGGTAGTTTTGGGGTTAATAAGGAACCATGCCTCTCTCCTCAATATATAGTTATAGGAGAAAGAAAGGAGCACATCACTGGAAAAGGCCAACTCAAGAAAGCTGGGATTGGGAAGATGCTCAATTCCTAAAATTGAAAACAAGTCTCAATCTGTCACAGCATCTGCGGGCACCAAGGCTATCTTCCCACTACTAATTTTAAGATCTCATCACACACACACACACACACACACACACACACACACACACACACACACACACACACACCTTGCTCAAGTCTTTAACTGTCCTGGACTGTTCACAGTTAGAATTGACAACTGGATGACCTTGCGGTCAACTCTGCTCTTTCTCAATAGGTCAAAGGGAATGTGATGCCTGTGGGGAAGATGACTGGTCCAACGCACAGAAGAGCAAGTGTGTGCCCAAGGAGGTGGAGTTCCTGGCTTATGAGGAGGCCCTGGGCTTCACCCTTGTCATCCTCTCCATCTTTGGGGCACTCGTGGTCTTGGCGGTCACTGTGGTGTATGTGATCTACAGGCATACTCCCTTGGTGAAGGCCAATGACCGGGAGCTGAGCTTCCTCATTCAGATGTCTCTGGTCATCACAGTGCTCTCATCCATGCTCTTCATAGGCAAGCCGGTGAACTGGTCCTGCATGGCCCGCCAGGTCACTCTGGCGCTAGGATTCTGCCTATGTCTGTCTTCCGTTCTCGGAAAGACCATTTCACTCTTTTTTGCCTACAGGATCTCCAAATCCAAAACTAGACTAATATCCATGCACCCCATTATTAGAAAACTCATAGTGCTGGTCTGCGTTTTAGGGGAGATTGGCATATGCTTGGCTTACTTGCTGTTGGAGCCTCCCAGGATGTTCAAGAACATTGAAACTCAAAATGTAAAGATCATCTTCGAGTGCAACGAAGGCTCTATAGAGTTTCTGTGCTCCATATTTGGGTTTGATGTCCTTTTGGCCTTGCTGTGTTTTCTAACGACCTTTGTGGCTCGCCAGCTGCCAGACAACTACTATGAAGGGAAATGCATCACTTTTGCGATGCTGGTCTTCTTCATTGTCTGGATCTCTTTTGTTCCTGCTTACCTGAGCACCAAAGGCAAATTCAAAGTGGCCGTGGAAATATTTGCCATTTTGGCATCCAGCTATGGCTTGTTAGGCTGCATATTTCTTCCCAAGTGCTTCATTATTTTGCTGAGGCCAAAGAGGAACACCGAGGAGACTGTTGGTGGGAGAGTCCCCACCGTAGACAGGAGCATCCAGCTGACCTCGGCGTCTGTGAGCAGTGAGCTTAACAACACCACAGTGTCCACTGTTCTGGATGAGTAGAGTCGGGAGTTGCATGTGACATGAAGAGCTTGATGATGGCCTGGCTCAAGCTTCCCTTTAAGGTTGCTCCTGAAGCCTCTGCTTGCTGCTGCTCTGGGGAAATATTAGTTTGTGGCTGTGTTAGTGTAAGGTTAAAATGTCATGAATGAAATTTCATTCTGTGACATGCCCTTTAGCATGGATTGGAATGCCATTTATTTTTGAAACTGGAAACTATTTCATTAGAATTTTAAGGTAGAGCATGTGCATCAACGGAATGTATCAAAAATGGTAGCAGCGTGGCCCATGGATATTTTTCTTATGTAGTGAGTATCTGTTCTAGATGTTTGCATTAAGTAAAAACGCATGAATAGGACAAAGAGAGACCTTTTCTCATCCTGTTGATGCCTCTCTGACGTAGACTGTGCTATTTCTTAAATTAACGTCTGTGATGGATGGGGAGACAGCTTGCTTGTTAAGAGCGCTGGCAGCTCTTCCAAATGACCTATGTTCAGTTCCCAGCACCGACATGGTGGCTCACAACTGTTCGCAACTGTAGTTCCAGGGAGCCCATCCTGTCTTATCAAGTCTCTGGCAAACAGGCTAGCATGTATTACACAAATGTGCATGCAGGCAGACCGCTACTACACATAAAATAAAGAAACTACCACTCTGAAATCTTCCCGCGGAGAAGTAGCTTTAGTGAACTCTTGGAAGATAATTTGTGCTTTGAAGGACTCTGCATATCAGTCAGATTGAGGGGACTGAAATTGTTAATACTGATAAATTTTTATTGATGAAGTTCATTTTCTCCTTAAGCTATTAATGAGAACAGATTAGTTTCTATGAGGCAAGATATGATCCTGCTCCAGAATTTCCTGGAAGAGATTAAATTGTAACATGTCTGAGTTTCAAGACATTCCTCTGCTTGAGAAATAAATACAAAGGGAGTATTGAGCCTGACTTTTAAGTAGATTACATGGTAACAACCCTTGGCAAAGGAAGCAAGTGTTCACCTAGACCAGGAGCAGAATGCAATTTTTTTTGATATTTCTAATTTTAGAAATAAGTTTATTTTACATATCTATCCTCCAGTTTTTCCCTCTCTCCCATCCTCTCATGCCCCCGCAGCGAACCCCCACCCCATCCCCACCCACTCCGCAAGGATAGTTAGACCACAGGGGATCATCAGTGTCTGTCACATCATTTGGGGGAGGGCCTAGGCCCGCCTCTGTGTATCTGGGCTGAAATAGTATCTCTTCATAGGGAATGGGCTCCCAAAGTCCATTTGTGCAGTAGGAATAAACACTGGCTCCACTGCTAGAGGGTCCATAGAATGCCCAGGCCTCCTAGCTGGCACCCACATTCAGAGGGCTTGGTTCAGTCCCATGCTGGTTCCCCAGCTTTACGACTAGAGTCTCTGTGCTCTCACTAGGTCAGGTCAGCTGGTTCTGTGGGTTTCTCCAGCACGGTCTTGTCTCCTTTGCTCATCCCTCCTCCTTCTCTGTGGCTGGATGCCAGGCGTATGGCTCAGTGCTTAGCTGTGGGTGCCTGCAAGACTTTTTAAAGAGATTTTTAAAAATGATGTACAGTGATAAATAATCTACCCTCTGATTATACAGTACTGGAACTTATTTCCCATAAGTAAATGTAATAAACATCTTTTCAGTCTCCTTGGTGTGAAACTTAATGACCTTCATGTATTCACACGCGTATGAGTTAAATGTGTTGCAAACATAACTTACAGAAAGGTGGGTAGTCTAAAACTGCATGTGTACATTGGGCTTGAGAAGAACAACTAGAAGATGCTGTTTTCAAGCGAGCTTAAAGCAGATGCAGATAAGGAGGAAATTGGGAATGGGCTGGATTGGGGTATATGGTGTGAAATTCCCAAATATCCAATAAAAATTATGTTATAAAATGAGTTATGTGTATAGTTTTATTTTAATATGGGCAGTTAATCCAGATAGTTCTTTTTTTCCAAGCAAAAAGTGTAAATCCCCTGCTGATAATCCTATGCTCATGTTCACCTGGGCTCATGTACCTCTCTTGTAACTAAGTCAACAATCCCCTTATGAAGAGTGTTCCTGTCCACATGGGCCTGCCTGTATAGGTTACGTAAGAACTGAAATGTGACTAGAATGAAAACATTTTCAAAAATTCGTCCTTGGCTGTTTGTATTTAGAAAATAAAAATTAGCCGGGCGGTGGTGGCGCACACCTTTAATCCCAGCACTCGGGAGGCAGAGGCAGGCAGATCTCTGTGAGTTCGAGGCCGGGCTGGACTGACAGCCTCCAAAACAATACAGAGAAACCCTGTCTCGTAAAACCAAAAAAAAAAAAAAAAAAAAAAAGAAAGCAAATAAAAATTAAGCACAGGTTAGACCTAAATTAGTGTGAAACAGATGTTGGGTTAGGAAGAAACCTCTGGATGCTATCATAAGCAGAGTGAAGACTGGAAGTCACTGTACTCAACATTGACCTTTCAGGGGACGGGAGAAATAGGGATTGAGAAGGGTGAGTTTGCTTCTTTGCCTTCCAGAGCTTTCAGTTGTCCTGTTAATTCACTAGTGTGGGATTCTTTTCTTTATGAAGGCACTTAGTGCTACGGACTTTCCTCTCAGCACTGCTTTCATTGTGTCCCATAAGTGTGGGTATGCTCTGAGGTCATTTTCATTAAATTTTAGGAAGTCTGTTGTTAAGAGAATCTTTTTCTTTTGCTAGCCGCTTTGGTTTATCCCGTCAGTCACCTGGGCTCTGCCGCGCCAGCCTGGTTCTAGATCCGCATGAGTCCCAAATAAACATACAGGAGGCTATATTAATTATGAAGCTGTTGGCCTTGTTTGTCTCTTACTGGATAGCTCTGCCTTAAGTAATTACCTCATAATTGTTAATCTAAGTATGTTTCTTACCGGAGAATAGTTCCCGGCGTCCTACCCCCATGGTGTCACATGTTGACTCCCTTGTCTTTCTCCTTCCCAGAGTTCTCCTGGACTCCTAGTCCCTCCTATCTAGGTTTCCTATAGGCTCAACAGTACTTTATTGACAAATGCACAGGACTTCCCCCAACATCTCCTCTTTTCTGTTTAAACAAAAAGAAAGGTCTTAACTTTGACATAGTCAAATCATATATAACAGAACAGTTATCAAGTAAGAATACAGTTGTAATATTTTGTCTATCAACATTTAGCAAGATTTAAAGAAAATATCATCCATCCCATCCTTGTGAGTACAAAGTCCTATATGTAGCTTTTCTTTTATCATAACTAAGGAAAACTATAATTATAACTATCTGTCTTCAACTCCATCAAAGACCACAGAAGGATAATATATAAACACTAGGATTGACAGAGACATCTTGCTATCTGGACAGTCACCCAAAGTTCCTCTGTATTGTCCGGGCATCCATCTTCAGCCCATAGGCCACAATGTGTCTGGAACACTTCTCAGCAAAGCAGGAAATTTCAAAACTGTCCATCTGCATCAGCAGTCTGTCAGTCATTTTTCTGTGTCCTGCAGAAAGTCTCGTAGACTCTTCATGAAGCAGGAACCCTGTAAGACTGAGTTCAGCAGTCACTTTCCTGTGGGTCCTGCATGTCCAGATTATACAACAACATTCAAGCAGTACAGGCAAGAGCAGTTTCTTGCCCAAATGGCTAATCTTGCCATGTTGAAAGCAAACTCCATAACAAGTTTCTTCGATGCCCATCTTCCTCTCAGACGTAATTGGTGCTGCCAGGAGCAGACATTTCTCATTGTCAAGAAAAACCCTAAACCATTTTAAAATGCCATTTTCTGAAGGTCTTTGAAAGGTTTGAAGACTATCTGTCTGTCTCAAATATTATCTCTATATATCTAGAAAACCTAACTTACCTAACTATAAATTCTAGCTATTATAAGTAACTATCTATAGTCTGTATTCAATTATGCATTATGTTTTAAAAGATCAGTATAAGCACAATACTTAATCAAGAGGAGAAATATAAGCATCATAAAATTGACCTTGATTTTGTCTCAATAAATGAAAAACAATACCCATACCATAATTCCCCTTTTTACCATTAAAAAGATTGGCTGTGATCATTAGCCAATTATAAACAATCCCATTTAAATGAAAACAAAGATTTATAAACAAGATGGGAATTGGGACGTCGCTCATTCCAAACTGCTTCCTGCTGGAAGGGGGCGCTGTTTATACCATGGGGATCATGACAAAACTCAGAAACCTGTATAAGTCCATATTATCCGGGTCTGTAAGACTGCATCATCTTCGCTGTTTCGATTGGTGGAACACCTGGTCCACTGCTTCCGGGGGTCTTGGTTCATCAAACCACAAAAGCCTGGAAGGAATCCTTAGCTTTTCATTTTCTGTAGAAACATAAATAAAAACTCCTTTTCCAAGTAACATATCCTTACCCTTAAATTTTGAAGTCAAGGCATTTTTAAAAGATAGAAGTTGGATTAATTCAGCAGCATTTATAATCAAGTGTACTTTAGCAGCAGTTCCTTCCTGAGCAAGCAAAAAACTGAAAAACACAATAGTGTACAGTATCCAGACTCTCTGTGTATTTTCCATCTTTGTGTGGCTTATTTATTTATCTATTTTTATTATTACTCTATTTCTTTCACTTCTGTTTATTTTTCTCTGAGACAGGGTTTCTCTTCGGAAACCTGCCTGCCTCTGGGCGTGCGCCACCACAATGCCAGCTTTTGCATTTATTTACCACTTTGCCGTTTCATTTTCTCTCTCAATCTCACGTATATTTTTAAACACATTGTAAACCTTTAGAGATTTTCTTCATCCAAGTCTGACTTTACTGTAAATCTTTATGTTTTTCTGGCCACGTGTCTTAACTGTAAAACCGCGGCTGTTTTAAACTGCCGTTTCAAGATGGCGGGCATAAGCGTGACTCCAGTTTACTGCCTCAGTCCATGCTGACATCCAGCAAAAGCTGCCACTTCCAGCTGTACGTATACACTTTTCAATCGTTAGCAGAGTCTCTTAAAACAACCTTGCTGTTTTTTTTTTTTTTTTATGCCGAGTCAGGAAGACTCCGGTAAGCAAGCCACGTGAATCTCGGCTTGTTGATAGCGAAACAGAGCACAACTGAGAAAATGCTGCTACCAAAATTCTGTGCTTCTCTCCGTTCTTCTGTTTCTAAAATTCCTTTAAAGCTTTTGTTATTTTGCGTGGAAATTCAGGATCCCAATCCTGACACCATTCTGTTAGGAGAAGCTTTTCCTTTGCTAGCTGCTTTGGTTTATCCCCCGCCAGTCGCCTGGGCTCTGCCGCGCCAGCCTGGTTCTAGATCCGCATCAGTCCCAAATAAACACACAAGAGGCTATATTCATTATGAAGCTGTTGGCCTTGCTTTTTTCTTACTGGCTAGCTCTGACTTAAGTATTTACCCCATAATTGTTAATCTAAGTATGTCTCTTACCGGAGAGGTTTCCGAGCTGCCTACCCCAATGGCGGTTACATCTCGACTCTCTTGTGTTTCTCCTACCCAGAATCCTCCTGGATTCCTAGCCCCTCCTATCTAGGTTTTCTATTGGCCAGACAGTACTTTATTGACAAATGCACAGGCAAATAACAGGACTTCCCCAACAGTCTGTTATTTCTTTCTTTATTTCTTCCTTGACCCAGTGGTCGTTCAGTTGATCATTGTTCAATTTCCAAGTGTTTGTGGGCTTTCTGAAATTAATGTTGCTGTTGAATTCTAGCTTTGAGCTGTGGTGATCTGATAGGGTGCAGGAGTTTATTCCAATTTTTTTTTTGTATCTGTTGAGGTTTGCTTTGTTACCGAGATATGTGGTTGATATTTTTGAGAAGGTTCCACGAGGTGCTGAAAAGTATATTCTTTTGTGTTTGGGTGAAATGTTCTATAGATGTCTCTTAAGTCTGTTTGAGTCATAACATCTGTTAGTTCCCTTATTTCTCTGTTAAGTTTCTGTCTGGTAGACCTGTCCAGTGGTGAGAGTGGGGTATTTCAGTCTCCCACTGTTAGTGTGTGGGGCTTAATTTGTGAATTAAGCTTTATTGATGTTTCTTTTACAAATACAGGAGCC